ATAATAATTGAAAAAAGTTATTATTAGTAAAATTTTTTTATAAAAGATATATAATAAAAATTTTTATATTTAAATAAGTTTCAATATCTAATAACTTAATTAAATAAGATAAAATTAAAATTTTATTTTGAAAAAATAATCTATTAATATTTATCTAAGGTATAAATCTTTTTTATCAATCCATAATAAATAATAAGATTTATTTAAGAAATACTAATTAATTAGTTATTTCAAAAAATAAAGAAATAAGAACTTATATTTTAAAAGAATATTAAATATTAATATTACTAAATATTCTAATAATAATAAAATTTATAAATAAATTTAATAATATTTTTATTAATTTTAATTTTTTAAGATATATATAAATATATTATAAGTTATAAGAAATATTAATATAATAAAAGTAATAACTAATAATTTTTATAATTATTAAGTATTTCTGAATAATATTAAAAATAAATTATCTTAAATTTTATTATATGATTACTAATTATTCAAGAATATAATATTATTTTTATTATTATTAATATTTAATTAAATATATATTTTTTATTAATATATATATATTAATAATTATATTTGAAATTATTAAATTATTCTTTAATAATATCTTTAAATTATATAATCCATCTTATATTATTATCTCTAATCACAATATTAAATTTATAAGTTACTTTCAAAAATTACTTTTTAAATAAATTATTAATAATAATTATAATTTATTTTTAATTAGATAGATAAATAAAAAGAATAAATTATATTTTGAAAGAAATATTACATATTTATTCTATATATACTTAGAATTACTAAAATAAATATTTTATTATTATTGAATTTATTATAATAACTTTATATAAGTTTTATCAGAATATATATTATTTGAATTTAATTACAAATAATACTTGCTCATATTAATAATACTTATAATAAATAATAAAATAAAATAACTATTATTAATAACTTTATTTAAACTAAAATAATATAATAAAAAAATATTAAAAACTTATTTTTAAAAGCTTAAATATATCAAGCTAAATATATTAATTAATATTATTATTATCAAGAATTTAGAATTAAAGATCAAGTTTTATTATTAATATATAATATAATTGCTACTGTAGATAAATAATACTTTAACAAGAAGTTTATATCAAGTATATTAATTTTTTTATTATTATCAAAATTATTTTATCTGTAATCTATTAGATCTATTATAATATATAAAAATTCATCTTATATTTTATATTTTCTTACAAAAATACATAACTCAAATAATAATTATAGTTAATACTATTAATAACTATAATAATATCTGAAACTAAAAAGAAATAATATTTCAGTCATTATAAATCTATTAAAAATATAAAATTATTATCAAGTTATTCCTTTATGAATTAATCAAGTTAATTTCAATCAATCTGCAATTTTGACTCTTACTGAAATGATCCAGTAAACAAAATTGTTATATATCTGTTCTTTGCTTATTATGATCTCAAGAGGGTATATTTAAGAAGTTTTCTCTGTATTAATAAATTACTCACTTTCAAATTAATATTTTTTTATTAAATTTGAAAAGCTTTAGCAAATATAAATTGTTTATTTTTACTTTTTTAAAAGTATCTAGATCTACATATATTTTTTTCTGATGTGTTAAATATCCTTCACACCATATATCATTACATTGTATCCGTAAAAAATGTAATTTCATACAGGTTTTTTATAAACTCAAAAAAAGATGATAAATTTCAGCTTAAATAAGTTTTTTACATAAGTCAGAAAACAGCATAAAAATACAAACATAAACCCGCAATCAATTCTTTCATATATAGAGAAGCTGATTGGTTTCTCTCTACACGTTGACGATTTCCATTTGTATTTTACTATAATAATAGAGCAACTGCAGGTTTTTCTCCACACGTTGACAATTTCTATTTTTTTTTATTTCAAGCTGCAGACTATGGATCGTTATAATAATCACCAATTAAAAAATTTGAGTGCATGTGGTTACATGTATCTTATTCTATATCGATGTGACTTTACATGCGCAAGCTGTAATGTTACACGTTACATGTATTTAAAATGGATGAGAAAACTGGCTTGCATGCGAGTGCGTACCATAATACAGTAGAAAGAAAAATTTTGGTAAATACATGTACATGTATAGCGTCAAAATTCGAATTGAGAAATAAATACTTACACTACACTAACGAAAAGAACAGTTTGTGTTCTCGAATGCTTATCTTTGTGTGAAAAATAACCCGTTTATCGTTATTCTCTAGGTTTTAAAGTTGTGACTTAAACCCGTTTTAGAAAAAGAATAGAAAAAAACTCCTATTATCCCTGCTATTATCAATCGCCTGCCTGCTGAGCATTATATTTGTTCCACGCAAAACAAAAGGAGAGAAATAAGAATACTAGTGTTATATTTGATACATTCAATCAGCGACACAAAGATAGCCCCTTTCTACTTTTGACGATTTTATCTGCAAATGCACTGTAAACAGCGAATGTAAATTTTCGGTGAGACAATTGCAAATCCGCAAATAGAGAAAGATAAATACCTGTACATGCAACATCACTCAACTTATTAAAAATAAAACTTAGTACTTTTAATTCAAAAAATCAATGGGTGGCAATCAAATATCAAAAAATGAAAGAATTCAAAATAATAACGTTGCTGCTTTGTCGTCGTCGCCAAAAAATTCAAGAATAAAAAAAAATAGGTTGTCACTTATGAATCCTGAATTTGACTTGAGCAATAGTAATAGCGACATTAATGGCAGCGGCAAGAATAAATATAAACTACCTTCGAATGAACAAGATGTTGATAGATATCAACGACTTCATTACGCATGGCGTTTAGTATGGGAAACTAATTATTCGGCACCTGTCGGACACATTTTAAAAAACAGAAACAATGTGAGGATTCTGGATGTGGGTAAGTTTTGAAAAAGAAAAACTTTTTGAATTCACAACAACTTATGGAAAAAATCATCTTCAATCCATTTTGAATAAAATAGGATGCGGATCGGGCGTATGGTTATTAGAAATGGCATCAAAATACCAAAATGCCAATTTCTTTGGAGTTGATATTGTCAAATCTTTTCCCACAGAAATTAAACCACCAAATGTCAAATTTCAAAAAGCAAATTTGCTAGATGGTTTACCATATCAGACAGAGGATTTTGATTTCATTATCGTTAGAAATCTGCAGATGGAATTTACAGTAACTGAATGGTGTGATATTATTCTGCCAGAGTTGCAACGTGTACTAAAATCTGGCGGATTCATTGAATCAAATGAATATATATGGAATATTGACGGAATGGGAACAGCATTTAATCTTCTTTTCAATGCATGTACGTGTGAGAAAATGATCGAAAAGAAAACACAGTCTTGGGTAATTTTGATTTGTTAATTTTTATTTCATTTTCTTCATATAAAAGGGAAATCAAACTACAAAGAACGTGACATTGAAATTCACATTGCGAAACTGTTGCCTGATTGGCTACAAACCACCACTACTTTCACGAACATACAACAAGAGACACGGTCACATCCACTTGGCATCTCTGGCGGAGAAGTAGCAAAATCGTTCCAAGAAATCATACTGAATGATTTTCGTACAAACAAGTCACGATTGTTGTCACAAATGAACATTAACTCAAAAAAATATGATAGTGCCGTAACGCTGATCGAACAGAAATTTGAGAGTGATTGCAGCCGCGATGATGGTGATTGCGAAGTCAAGTTATATCGAACTTGGGCTCAAAAAATTTAATGTATTTTTTTAATTTATTGATTTAGATTTATCGTTATATATTCCTGTAATTTAATCTTTAATTCGCCAAGTTTAATCATTAATTTTCTACATTTATACATAGTAATTTAAAATTGCAGCTTTTAAGATATTATTCGTATTATTGAAATGTATTAAATGTAAATAAGAAATATCGTTATTAAAAATGTACAAAAGAAATATGAAAATTACCTAAACGCCAGGTTTAGTAATCTGCAACATCATACTTAAGAAAAGGGAGCGTGCACACGTATTTGTTTCAAGGGAAAAATACGCAGTTGTTACTCCTCGGTTTTGCGCTTCGCGCTGTTGTTTCAATTCCATGTCGGCCGAATGTCATGTAAAAAATGGGGGTTTTTTTTTTTGCATAATCAGATGACAGCTGCTGTCTTTGTTACCTATGACTTTTGACGTGTGTGACATATGTTCTGTTGTGATGTCATATAGAACAACGTAAAAAAGTCTTTGTCAATTGATCCGACGTTAAAAGAAACAACGACATCCGCCGACAATGAAGTTCAAATGGACACAGAATTTAAAAAAAGAACATAGTTATTAAAAATGGATAACAAATTGTTTTTGTTCACTAAAGAGATTAAAGTTTTATTCATAATTTGTTCTTATCCATCTTATATTTTATTATTGAATATTTACTTTCTGACTTTATTTGAGAACTACGTATCTTTCATTGATTCTAGTTTAAACTTTGCATCGCTTCTGTATGATACAATTGAGAAATGTCGATATATACTGTATTTACATTTGTATAAACAAAAAGAGTGAATAAATAGTTAAAATTATAATACACGGTCTAAAAAGAACACACACAGTTTATCTTTATATCTAAAAAAAAGCTTATGGGGGGGGGGGTGATAGTTATGTAATGTAATGAAAGCTTAAGTTATTTACATATTTTTACAATTCAATACAAATTAACTTTGTTTCAAAGTAAGTAAAGAAGTGAAAGCTCATTTGTAGTGGAAAAAAATGATCAAATGTACAAAGAAAAAAATGATTTGGCAACAGTATAATAAGAAGGAAGTTTAGAATGGCACCGACACTTTTTGCGCAAATGTTCGATAAAGAACAACTTCGGAATATTGATCTCTGGCGAATTCGGATCGAATATTCGTGACAAGATTGTCATAGGTTTTCGAGTTTGTGCGTAATTGTGGAAGTAATATTGGTTTTAATACTTTAAATCCGCTATAGGCAATTTGTTGGAATGATTCAGCGAGTTTCGGATTTCCACCTTCTTGTGATGAAAGTGGATGAGATTTTTTGAGTTCGACTATGTTTGTTAAACATTTGGTGTTTTTCATGAATTCTGGTATACGCTTGGCAATTGCCAAGTCGATATTTTTCGATTCGAGCATGCTATTATCTTTAATAGAAAAAAAATGTGAGTTTTAAATGCCCAAATTAGAAGAACTGAAGATAATATATAATACTTACAAGTATTTGCTAATAAGTTGAAAGAGGGACCCATCGTATTTACATTCCATACGCTTTCTTGACTTTCAACAATTCCACCCGGCTTCAAAACTCGCACCAATTCCTTAAACACATTTTCGGACCAATCTTGCACCGTAAGCACCGAATTCAAATTTCTGATCACGATAAAGTCAAAGAATTCTGAGTCGAACGGAAGATTAACAAAAAATGGTGTTTTATAAAAGAAAACATTTGCCGGTTTAATTTCCGCTGGGAACGATTCAAAAGTATCCACGCCATAGAATTCGACGTTTGGATATTCAGAAGCCATTTCCAGTGTCCAAACACCCGGACCACATCCAACGTCTAATACTCGTACATTGCGTTTGCGCTGCAGAAGTTTCTCTACTGGTGAAGAGTAATTCGTCTCCCAAAGCCAACGCCATGTATAATGAAGTTGTTGAAGACGATCAATTTCTTCGGATGTAAGCGGTTGTTGAGTTGCCAAAACATTATTGGAAGAGTTTGGTATCTCAAGTAGCATATTGCTTGGATTTGAACTGGATTTTGTATGCAATGACGAAGACGAAGACTTCTCGCATTTGCTTCTTGATTCAGAGAAAGAACGTTTTTTGATGTGCGTTATCTTTGAAAACTGAGTTCCGCCCATGTTTTCTATTTGTTGTTGTAACAGTTAATAAAAAAAGCTCTTGATGACTCAATGATTATAAAAATTTGCAAGATAGATTTATTTGCAAGTTATTATCAAAGGAAAATATGAATTGTGGAAGTTCAGACTAAAAGGGTGAGAGGGATATATATATATATGTGTGTGTGTATGTATGTATGCAAGTTTTTTGTGATGATCTTCGACATATTTTATGTAGTATAATATATAAAAAGTACAATGCAAGATTTATGATTTTTAATCTATTCTCTTGGTAAACAGGATAATCATAGAAAAAAAAGATAGAATTATCCTCGACAAAAAACTCGATAATGGCCGGAAATTTATTTTATTGTTCAACTCAAAACCGACTCTTTTCTCATTGTGTAAGTACGTACCTGTATTCTTTTTAGTATTATTATCGTTATTCTATGAATTTAAAAAACGTGCGTAACCATAGAATGTAACCTTCAGCTCAGCCTGTTTTCCATTTTAATGTAAAAGCATCAAATTTTTCTTGCTAGCCCAATTCGGCGATTAGGTGTTGCAATTATCACGTTGTTCGCGAGTATGCGTAATACTGCATACATTTAACGAAGCGCGGCGGGAGAATTCACTGCCGGAATTTTCTTTTATTATTCGGAGATTAACGAGTGGGAGTCTATACCGAGTGTGACTATAGGAAATAGGCAGTACATGTAATATGATTATACAGTAAGTATATTGAATGCATCTTTGCATACACGTTTTCTTTTTCTTTTCTTCTGTTTTATTCAGAATGACAAATTTTACCAATAACTGTATGCACAAAAAAATTTTATTAATGAGGGAAAAATTCTATTTGGAAAACAATGGCAGTAATTAAAAATATAATTTCGAGAAAAGAAAGAAAAAAACATCACGTTATCCACGAAAATAAATTGCCTATGTGACGATTGTATGCATTGCATATAAGGATATAAAGATAAAAATTTTTTTAGCAGAACAAGAAAAAAAATTATTGACAAAGAATTTTATGTGCGTTTGTGCCGTATTCTCGATTTGATTAACAGGGGATAGGGGATAAGATGATGACGAAAGAATTTTTCTATTACATGTACATGTATAACCTGTATAGCCGATTTAGTTTCTCCTTAACTATGAATCAAAGACAAGGGTTACATTGTATTGAATGCACGTGGCGCGGTTATCATAGCAAAAAGCCGCTTTTGCCCTTCACATGCTCTTTCTAATGATGCTCTGTCAAGGCCAAGCAAAATTAATTCCTAATTCAATTTCAGTAAAATATCATATCTTATCAACCACCACTTTGTTTACATCAGGCATTTTTTAATTTTTCATAATTTGTGTTATACATAGACGGAGCACAATTTTCTTATTCAAAGAAATGCAAGAGATAAGGTAATCAATCGATTGATTATACATGTATGCATAAATACATGTATAATCAATCGATTGATTATACATGTATGCATAAATACATGTATAACGATGACAAATTTTATCGTTATATTTTTTTTTACATTATCGTGATATGCCATACGTCGTCGTCGTTGTCGCTTTCATAGGAGAAAAAAATAAAACATTACATGTAATTAAAAAACGTGTGCAATGTAAAATTACGGAGAATAATAAGTTGTGCATGCATATCGATATCTGCGTATCGATATGTACACGCATACATGTATGGTTTCTTATCTTTCCCCAACGAATAATCCGAATAATCTGAAAAATTGTATCAATATTATGTCCATTATTGAAACAAAAAACAATAAAAAATTTACTATCGCTATTCATTATTCATTATTAATGTATCGTTCTTTAAAAGTGGGCTGGGATCGATTGTTCTTTAGTAAAGTAAAATAGTAATGAATATAATAATCTGCTAATTTCTATATGATATTATGAAAAAGCAAGAATGGTTAGATCACTCACTCTTTGAGTCACTTTATTAGGGACACAATGAGACATAACGATAATAGGCTGATGTTACTACATTATCGTAAGAAAGGGTAGCGGACAGATCCCCGGATTCCCGGGTTGAACAGATTTACATATATGTTAAAAGATGTGACGATACACGTAAAATTCGAGGTCAAATTCCTAAAAAGTGGGATTGTAGAGAGGATAAGCTGATTTTTATTAATCAAAATCAAGGCATGAGAATTTTCTCATGTAGTTACTGTTTAATAATTAATTAATTATTAGAATCATTTGTTATATATTTTTCGTTGCGAAATATTGAGAAAATTTGACAGCTCTTTTTATTACAATGATAGTCAAATATTGGATCATGACTGTATGCTGTTAAACCAATGCTCTAACGTATAAAGGGTAACATTAAACACAGCTGACACGAAAAAACTGGAAGTTATCACATGACAGAAATTCTAATTATGCCATATACCGTATTAACGCATTTTTTCATCTGAAATTTTCTCATCTTAATAAAAAAAATAACATCAAAATGTTTCCTTTACTCAGCGCCAAGCGTTATTATACTTATGGGTGACCTATCAAAAATATAATTAAAATAATGAAGACCAAAATCTTAATAAACTCGAACGATTTATGACAGAAGAATGAGAATAAAATCAATGAACAACGTTGCGAACTTATTATGAAAAATTGCATATTAATACTATAAATAAAGTCACTTGATTTTAGCTATAAGTTAATGAAGATTTTAACTTGCTTTTTTGCGTGTTAGGACGGTTTCAGAATATATGCTAGTCTGATTAACTTGATTAAAACAATGATATTTTTACTTTTAATTTCACACCTAAATCGTGTGATTATTTTTTCAGATCAACATTTTATTATATAGTAACTATGGACGAAGGGTGGTACTGTGACGAATTAAGGAAAATATGATATCTAACGATCAGAATCTCACAAAATTATCACTATTTAACGAATCGAATGGTGATAATTTTATGCGATTTCGATACTAGGTATCGAGATATCGCATCCAAATTCAAAATACACCAAAATTTTCGATGTAAATTAATGATTAATATTAAAGTGTACGATGAATTTAAGTGCGATGTACAGTAAATGATCGGAATCGCACGAGAATACCACCATTCGATTCGTCTAATCATGACGAATCAAATGGTAATTTCGATCACCAAACATCGAGAATGGGAAATGATGTTTGTTATGCGTAGCCGAGGATCAGATATTAAATATCATATGATTTTTAAGGAGCAAACCAATCAAATCGCAAGATTAATATGCAACAAAAAAATCAAAACAATATCTATCTCGAACGAATTTTGTCTAATAAATCACTTTCTGTGCTCTAACAAAAAATGTTCCTTGCGAAAATTTATTATTAAGTCGCATACAAAATATATCCTTAATACTGATCTGAAATCTTACCTTCATAGTAATTATTATTTGATTTATATATTTCTAATCAATACAAATTAATAATAAATCATCCAATTCAAAATACTATTGTAAATTATCTTTGAAAAAGAAATTCAGAATATGTTGGACAAGAATATTATTTCTCTATTAGAAAAGCCCCTGATCAGTTTCTATTATAATTGTGAAAGAAAAAGAACAGTAGTTTTTAATTATATGTAGAATATAAAAAACTAAATAAAAAAATAATCCAAGATTAATATTTTCTTTTACATATTAATAAATTATTTAATGTATTTAAAGAAGAAAAGCATTTTATAATCATCAATTTAATGATAGAATACTGTCAAGTAGAAATAAAAACTAAGAACTATTATAAAATTATATTTATTACAAAATAAAATCTATTTAAATTAATTTAATTATATAGTCTGTAACAAATTTATAGTTGATTATTTAATATTAGTTTATAAATCATATTGTATCATATATTATATCATATACTGATCTATGCCAAGAGAAATATCTGGTTTAATAAATTATTTTAGTTATAGATAGATTTTTTAGTAGAATTTCTTTTAATGTTTATTCTATTAATATAATTAATATATTATTCTTTTTATATTTTTATTTATAATTATTTATTTACTTATTGAATTATAAGTATTTTTTGTAAGTATTATAAATATTTTCTTATTAAGTATTATATATTAATAATTTTATATAATGATAATTTATTATTTTAAAATACTTTGTTTTTGTTTTATATTTTTCTTAATTTTATTTTATCTTAATAAAATAAAATATAAATTTATATAATTAAATAAAATTTATTTATTTTTAACTTAATTTTTGTATAATTTCTTGTTAAAAATATATGTATAACTAGAAGTTTATAACTTTAAAAGCAGTAAAAAAGACTGAAATTCTATTAAAATTAAGATACTTATATTGTGAAAAGAAAATAGGCTTACTGGAAAAGAAAGATATAGACAAGAATAGATATCAGGCTAGTTAGTAAAGTTTTAAATTTAAAAATAGGGAGAATGAGAAAGTATCAGACTAATATAAGTATTATATATAAATTTATACACTTAATATATATATATAGTAATAATAGAAAAAAATAATAATCAAATGATATAATTTAATTTATGTAATTTTTTGTTTAAAAAATCTCAAAAATTAACTATAACTAGCCTATAATATATACTTAAATTTCTAATACTTTATTTTATATACTTTATTATTTATAATTAGCTCAAGATATTTTAATATTAATTATACTAATTTTTAACATAATCTCACATTAATTTTTTCTTACTTCTTCTCTATTATTCTAATAAAATTTCTTGTAATACAGATTTTTTTTATAAATTATCAAGTTAACTCTTTTTTCTATCCTTTTTTCATAATTAATTACAAATTCTTGATTAGATTGAGATCTGATAAGTATAATAGCCAATCAAACATATAAAGATACTGATCATTTAATAAATAGTTATAAGCTTAATATAATACTTAAAGTTATTATCTTGTTAAAATATTTATTTATCATTAAGAATTTGATTTGCTTGCTCAAATAAATTTTCAGTTAGTATTTCATAATATAATTTACTATTTATAGTTTC